AAAAAAAGAAGAGCTAAGAATTTAAGTCATCTATGTTTTTAAGCTATAGTCTTTGTTGTATTTGTTGCATACCTCTCGTCTGGCTGCAGGTAATTATTGTTATTATGTGTCTCCTCACAAGCAGTATCAAACGGAGCACATGCAAAAATGCCGAAGCCTTTTGAATATCAAGATGTGATCACAAGGAGGATGTTAGTGAATATTTAATAGTAGTTAAAAAAGATGATGTTCCATGTGTAAATGTAATCCCTTTAAATATAAAGTATGTTTATGTTCTGTAAATAGTATACATAGATATAACGAAGATTATCATGAACTTAAGACTATTTCAAAATGTATCAGTATCACTCTTCTTCCCTGTTGCTATGGAGATGTTGACTTTACCGGATTAGTGTAATAGTGAAAGTAAATGTTGGATTGATGGCCGGCCTGTCTGTGTTGTGTACGGTACAGTTCAGTTTAGCTCTTATAGTTCTGGCATCATCAGTGTTAAAAACAAATCTATAAATATATCCTCCACTCTGAACATTCAAACCTTGGCTACGTCTCTTGGTGGTCCTTTGTGGGAACTCGTGCGCGTGTGAGTGTGTGCGTGGAGTGTCGAATGGGATTGTGCGTTTCAGTCCGTGCATGTGAAGTGTAGAAAGCTGCTGGTTAATTTGCTACATTTGTTTTCTCATGTCATGTGTTCAGTGCTTCCATTGGCATCGTGAGCGTATGTGCGTGTGTGAGTGTAAATATATGTCAACATGCAGATATTGCAATAAAAAAAGAGCACATATGCACAGGAAATGGTGTCATTTCTTTTCTATGTGCCGTCCAGAACAAAAGGCTCTGAGATCCTGTAGATGTATTTTGAATTGACAAAGTGAATATTACATGAAAATTACTATAAAATGTTTATATTTTTATTGAAATTACTGCGTATGAGATAGCGCTACCCTTCTGTCGCCTTCTTACGTGTTCACATATAATTGGACACTAAATATTCCGTCATTTAGAATATTCTGGCTTAAATGTCAACGACAGGATTAGCAGACATCAGTGATTAGTTATTCATTCAACTAATTGGCTTCCTGTAAAGACAAATTATATGAAAGTATGCTAATATCTGTAAAATAAACAAAAGAAACATCTTTACAACAATTCCAAATTATTTAGCTGAGCACTATAAATTTTAGGAATTGTTAGACATTTGCAAAGCCAAAGTGTCAAAAAACAAACAAAACTTTAGCTAAATCAATGGGAAGTGAAAACATACTTAATATAATAGAATTTGGAATATGAAATAAACTAAAATGTGCAAGCTGAGTAAGAAAGAGTCCTCAGCTACACTGTCACAGACTGCGTCTTTCAATCTTGTAATATATGTGAAAACACAGACTGTATATAAAAGATGGACAAAGCCACTATTGCATTATGTATTAGTTTCTCCGGGACGTCACACATTTTTGCTAGTATGCTTTGTTTGTTATTTAAGCCAGAACCACTTTTACTCCAACGAGTGAAATGCTAGGTTATTAGCTAACAGTAGCTTGCTCGGCTAGCATCTATAAACTTTACAGATGCAGAAACAAAGACACGTGCTGCTCATTCTGAAGAAGGTACTGAGAAAACCATTATTTGAGCTCAAAATATTACCTCTTTTAATTATGAATCATGATTAGTTGACATTTATAAAAACTAT